CAGGAGAATGTATGCTGTGAAATATTGTACAGAAAGCCCCTCCATCATAGCCAGGCTCACATATTTCAGAGGAGCTTTTAATCACCAAAAAGCCTCAATGGGAGCAATTTGTCTATTGAGGAAAGGAACGGGTTAATTTGAAATTCAGCTTGGTCCAGAGATAAAGAGAAAGTTAATCTGCATTCAAGGTCAAGAATCAATGCGGACCAGGCTAAGTGCAAAGAAAAACTGCTTTTGGCCCCAGCTGGCTGTGAAAAAATATAGACATAGTCAAACCAAAGGCAATACAAGTTACAGTGCTGAGATTACATTTGCAAAGCTTAACTGTCCAGTGAGATCCAACAGTCTGCCTTTGCGACCCTGGAGCCGGCGTGGTTTGGGGACGCTGAAGAAGCCACAGGCAGCCGGCCTGGACTGGAATCACTGAAAAGACGCCCCAGAAGACCTCAGGGTGTAAAAGAACTGCCCTCCCAAGAGAAGAAGCAAGTTGGAGATTGCACAGCACCTTCTCTGAACGTTATACACAGACGTGGCCAGTCTGACGTACGTGTGAGTATGAAAGTGTGCCTACTCTCAGCCGCAGTAAGTTTGAGAACCGGAGAGGGATTTAGCATTCTTCTCTCCACCCGGTTGACCGGGAAGGGTATCAGGTGGATCTACCCCAGTCGTAGCAGGCAATAGAGAAGTTGGAGAAAAGGGAAGAGTTGTGTACTTTATAACTAGAATTGAGCAATTAAGAGCATAGATCATGAAACAGACAGCAACTCAAACCTACGCCCAGGGCAAGTTGCAAGCCTTGAGACAGGACTTCCAGGCAGAAAAGGAAGCACTGGCTAAGCAAGTACCAGTCCTTCAGGGACTTGTCAGAATTTAACCATTTGTATTTGCATATGCGGTAACAGCAGTGTGTTTGCCACAAGAGAAAATTGAATAGTTAAACGCCAATGGGCCATGCATTTTGCTCAAGTGGCAAGCCTCACGAGGGAGGACTCGGGTAGCCTTGTGAGTAAGAATGTTTAAGGGAAGAGACCAGGGAGGGTGGGGGCTAGTTGAGAAGCCCATTCTCCTAGCTAAATTGGCAGTGAAAAAGCCGTGCCCATGGAAGGGACGGTTCAGCGAGAAAAGCAGGATTGGGCCCAAGCTGGCAGGCAACAGATAGAGAGATTGGAAAACAGGTTGGAAACTTTGAGGGCATAGTGGAAGGAAAGGAGTAAGTAATTATAAGCATGGGGATTTCAAATCCCCAGGATAATAATTGGAATGGTAAAATGTGTGTAAGACAGAGTCTTTGTACCAAGGTGCAAGGCTCTCCTTTCTTCTGCAGAATAAAGCAACTCTTCCTTATCCCGGTCTGGCTGTTACTGGCTCTCAGCTAGGTGGACCTGATATTTCGGTCACAGTTACTGGCGACTCCGGTTAATGAATTTCTGTCTTATACATTTGGGCGTTAGGTGTGTGGACGGAACTGAGCCTCTCATTCGTAATTCCTCAGAGTGGAAGCCATTGCGTGCAATGAAGCTCTGAGGTCGAATTGGGATCCTTCTGTCCCGTCCCCTGTAGCGGTCAGTATTAGTAGAAATTCCTGTAATAGGATCCTATTAGGCCATAATTCCCTCTGTTCTCTGTGTAATTCTCTGTTAAGAGTGTCAGCAGGCAGATGGGTGGATCTCTGGTAAAACCCTCTAAAGATAGCCCTTTGAATTATATGTTAAGTAAATGGCCTTTACCTGGCGTTCAGAAAAGAATGTCGAAGAGACGCTTGTTGCAGCTTTGCACCCAGGATTGGCCAGCCCTGGGCACTGATTGGCCCGAATCCAGATCTTTTGACATTCCGACTTACTTAACTCCCTTGCACCTGGTACTGGAAAACCAGGCACCGGGACATATAAATTATTGGCTTTTGTGGGATCTGTGTTTTATAAGTTTGAGATGAATTGGTATTGTTTAAAGTTGCAAAAACCGAGAATACTTTTGCCAGACACAGGAAACTAGTGTTGTTTAATATGGTATTTAGGATTTAATCCTTAAGGTGACTTAATGCTTTACAAGATTTAAAATGTTTTAACTAAAGACCAAAGGTTGTGGCTGCAGCAGGGTAGTCAAAGCCAGGAGAATAAAAGATTTGAATTTGGTTTTGGGTAACAAAATAGCAGATAAAAGAGCTGGTAAAGAGAGAGAAGGACAGTGCCCCTGGCTCTGTGTGGTCGAGCTGTCACTTTACTAGGGGTGCATGGAGATTTTGTAAGCACAAAAGAAACAGTTACACCTTGTGTAGAAATTGATATGGCTAGTGTTGTGGAAATTGAATTGTGGATAGGACATGCATTTTCCCCAGAACATGTGCAGTGTATATTGTAGCAGAGATAAAAGAAATGCAAACCTACCAATATAGGTTGTGTTGTCTTTTTCAGATCACTGTGTTTGAAAGCAGGAGTTAGAAGTAAAAGGCAATCAAAAGTCTGGGAAAGTTAATTTTGTCCCTTTTAAAGTAAGAATCTTTAAGCTATGGATAGCTTTGGATCTGGAAGCAAGCCAGAAAGCATCTGTATTAATGCAATTTTCTAACTAATAAGGAAGAAGCCACTGAAACCTGGGCTGCCTATGAACCAAATACAACGAAATATGGGATAATTCCT